TCCTTGGGAGGTCAAAAAGATTTTCTGTCTCCAGTACCCTTCTGATATTAGAAAAGAGATACGCAGTTTCAAGCATTTTTTCCGACCACAGAATTGAATTAACTGAAGTTTCAATTTCAAACACGATTCCTAGAATATGACCACGTCTACACATCTCACAGCCATTTTGCTTTTTTTTAAACTCTTTTGTTCTGGGGGAGGCAGTACTGGGGCTTGAACTCATGCCTCATAGGTCAGTGCTGGATCACTGAGCCATGCCTCCAGCCCTTATATTTTTATTTAGCTTTTACTAGCTCACTGAACTTTTGAACTGTTTCACAGAATGATTAATTATAATTCCAGGTCACTAAAGAATTCCTAAAATGTTTTGAGATAATAACACAATGCAATTAGGCATTGTGGATTATGGCAAATAAGCCCTTGGAAACTCTTCTTCAGTGTGTTTAATGAAACTTTATTTCCAGTCATTCTCTCAATGGTAATGATAATAATTAATACTTACGGAGTGCGGTGCTAAGTATTTTACAGTGCTCCATGAGGTGACAAAAGTACTACTTCTAGGTGTATTTTCCGCACAGATAAAAGAACTAAGCCATAGAATTTTCCCAAGTTAGAGGCCTCATAAATGACCCTGGTCTCTGTGACGAAGACTCTGCATTCCACCTGGACCACTTCCTCCCTCACCAGGGCCATGTCATCTGCTCAAGCTGTCAGTGCTCTCAAAGATGGACATGCACAGATTACCACGACTGTGGAAAGGCGCACTTGCTTTCCAGCATCTGCACCTTTTCAGTTGCTCAAGGAGAGGAAGTTGCCAGAAAAATGCACACACAATTCCCCTGTCAGCCGAGCAGCCCCGGGAAGACGTGGTCACCAGGAAGCGGACCTGAGACAACAAAGGCAGAAAGAAGTGCTGTGCTGGGCAAGGATGTCTATAAATGGCCAGTCTTTTCTCAGGACTCTCAGAAGCAACAAAAGTGACAAGAAAGAGAAAGGCAGGGACAAAAGGAGAGGGAATGAGCAGGGGAGGCCACTATCAGTAGTCATGCAGCAGCAGCAGCATTGATGGCTGTTTTTAGAAGCAGTGACAAATACCATCGGCTGGAAACAGCAGAGAAACAAATTGCTAGAGACAGAAGACAGAACAGCTTTGCTGCTGTGGGGGACAAGCAGCCACCTGTCTCTGTTTCTGCCATCCCTCAAGGTCTGGGACAGGAGCTCCAGCTAGGACAGGATGGAATGGGGGCGGCAGCTCCTCTGCCCAGTGGCCCCAGGGCATCAGCCTGCCCTGCAGGGGCTCCCCTAGCACAGATGGAGTCCCAGCAATGTGTTAAAGCCATTCCTGTCTACACCCAAACTCATGGCATAGTCCATAGTTGATTTTTAACACTGTCCAGTCCTGCAGAGGTGGCACCAAGTTGGGAGTACTGGGAGCTTTTCATGCTTCTTTGCCATTCTCTGACATGGATCAATGATGCTTCTTCAATCTTGGATTCCCTCTTGCATCCATATTTCTGCCTTTCTGTCTTTCCCATATAGAAAAGCTGGAGTTCCAGTGGCCTTGTGACTTATCACAAAACGCTCACCATGTAACGTTGCCAGATAGAGTTTGCCATGTTTTATGAAAGAGATTCCATTGAGAAAAAGTTAAGTATTTATTGAAATGGATGCTCTTCTACTTAGTAGGGGAAACTCCAGCTGTCCAGTTCATTGTCCAAAGACATCTACAGTTTTATTTTACACAACTCTATGTGATTCCAATGAGTTTTTTCAGGATTGCTGTAACGATAAAATTCTGTATTTCTGAAAGGTAGTACATTGAAGGGTTGTAGTGATCACTCTTCTAGTGATGTTAGAGCAGAGGATGGAAACAGAAAACATCTATTGGTCCTCAGGACTAACTGGATGGAGCAAGCACATGGTGGTTAACACACACCTCCTACAGTTCAGGCCACTCTGATGCAGCTATGACTTTTAGCTGCAAGTAATTCTGTCCTTTTCACAACTTCTTTTTTTTTTTTCTTTTATTATTCATATGTGCATACAAGGCTTGGTTCATTTCACAACTTCTAAGGCATTGACCACTTCTCTCCTGGAAGCTTGCTCTCTACCTGTGCTGGAGTCATTTGTGGTATGGCTTATCTCTTCTGAACTGTAAGCTCTATAAGGGCAAGGCTCATACTGAGTCACCTGTGTGTCCCTCCCCACCCTGCACTCCTGCCCAGCACTCAGCTCCTCATGGGTGTGCATTTGGTACAGGCTGACTGGGAGAAAGGATGAGGGAATGCCTGATCTCTGCATTGTTCAGAAGCAGGTGTGTAGATACAGAATGTGTTTTGAGGAGCTGCAAGTGGTGAGAAGGGCTACGGCTCAGATTCTGGTTTGGAAGCAGTGACAGATACCACTGTGGCTAGGCTACCAGCACTCAAATTCAGGTTCCCTGGACCAGTTCTTAATATCATGGTGCTATCACTATCTGTAGAAGGGGGATAGCAGTAATAATGACCTGATGGAGCCGTTGTGAGGAATACAGTTCATATAGTGTTGCCTGTGTCCACAAACTTTACAGCTATTAAATCATTAAAGGCAGGACTTGATCGTCAAGGGTGCTCATCTGTGGTGCTCTGTGGGCAACTGCAGACTCACATGTTATAGAATTCACAGATTTTAATTCAGATAAATGGTGGTCAATCTTTGTTTAGACCTAACCAGAGTATCTTGGATGAAAATGTTACAGACTAGCGCCATTTTTCCACATTGTTACAGCTAAATCTATTAGATATCCACATGATAAACTTTCGGGAACTCTTTGTGCAAAAAGCATTAGTATCTTAAAGGCTTCCCTCAGATTCTGCTCACATGTTGTCATGAATCACAGTTTGGTAGCCCTTTAAGGAAGTCAAGAGCAAATAACTTGACACCAGGAGGCAGAGGCCTGGAAACTGATGAGCTGGGCAGAGATATGTAAGTAAAACTCCCCATCACTCAGCACTTTGTGGATTGTACATACACAGGCCATAGCAAGTGTCTCACTAGGAAAGCCCAAGGTCTTCTTATTCCCTTCAGTTCCTGTTCAAAGACTCCATGCAGCTGGGGTTGGTGTAGCATCCCTCAGGACCTTGACTTCACCCTAAGATGAACCTGAGGGACTCTTCTGCTTAGACCACCAGGAAATATGAATGGCCACTTTGCCAGGAGCTCTGGGATTGCTAGCTTTTGTTTGCTGGCCAAAAATAATAGGCTAAGGCTCTTTGAACACCTTTTTAAACCTAGGGTTTGTATTCTAATTTCAAGATATAGATATGCAATTTTCTTTACCCAGGAATCTGCTGTCCCTCTCTTTGTGCTATCAGGAGCCTCTCTATTGGGCTGACCACCAGGACCACCCAAAGGGCATGGCATAAGTGCCAGCTGGAGGTTAGATTGGCAAACTTCATCATAAGCCGAAAGGTGCATGAGCCCTTTCTGCCTTGGATGGATCTTGTTGTCAGAGCTCAGCCTCTTGCCTGTCTCAATTCCATGGGTCCCCACAGAGCAAAAGCCATGCAACTCACAGTCAGGGGAGAAAGGCTCATATCATCTCCTGACTCTGGGGAAGGAAGAAGCAGGTTGTAGATCTGGAATGTGTTTTGAAGAGCTGCAAGTAGTGAGAAGAGGAGGAAGCCTTAGAAGAGGAAGCTACAAGGTTGGGGCTTTGTTCACCTTTGGAGTGAACCAAGAAGCTTCCCTAGGGAAAGGTTTCTCTTTGTGATGCATGTGGCCTGGCTCCCTATCTTGAAAGCAGAGTTCTCTGGGACTCAGGGTCCTGGTATAGGTTGGAGCAAGTCTGCTGCTCAGGTTGTGGCATTGCCAGTCTTGCTACAGGTTTTTTCCAGATCTCATGCTCCAGTTAGTAACTGTTTTCTTGCTCTCCTAACTATAAATTAGGTAGTGGCTCTGCTCAGAGCTTCCCTGCAATCAAGCTTTAGCTCCAAATCTTATAAACTATGTTTATCATTTCTTCATTCTTAAAACTCTTCCTTGTCTTACTTACTCTTTAGAAATCCTGTTCTCCAGCAAGGGAGCCTTCTCTCGTTCTATAGTAAACTGAGTCTCTTTCAGACCAGGTGGGTGGTCTCTACCATGTACTGGCCACTGACCCACCACTAGCTCCCCAGAGGTGTGTCCACTCACTATTGCCACTATTGAACTTCCTAATGCAGACTGCCTGATCAACAGACAGCCTTTCCTCAAACCCCACTTCTCCTGCTCTAATCCCAGGCCTACATTGCACAGCCTCCACATCCACTCTCTTGGCAGCCCCTCCAGCTTGCTGACCAGGTGGATAGCCCTCACTGACTGCCCACCAATGGATTCCTTTCTGCTCCACTCTTCCCATCCATCACCCTTGCCTCTCAGGTCTTGTTACCTGATCCAATGGGGACCAGATGGTCTCCAGGAGAACCAGTCTTGCCAATCTTAGAGTCCTTGACTTGTAATCAATTAATTTCACTTTGTAGTGACAAAAATTCATTCCGCTGTTCAACTGCAAAGCTCACTTCAGAAGTTAAGACAAATTTTACTTGCTTTCTAGAAAGTATAGATTTTGTTTTCCTATTCAAAAACAAAATTTTGCCTCTGTGTGGTGACCTTGTCCACCTTATCTAAAATTTCAACTTTTTACAAACATACCACATATCTTACTTACACTGTGGTTACTGTTTATCCCTCCTCATAGACTATAAGCCACACAAACACAGAGGTTTCGATTTATTTTATTATTCCTGCACCCAGAGTAGATCCTGGCCCAGAGGAGTCACTCAACAAACACTGGATAGGAAACTGAAGGCATGAGTGGTGAATGAAGGGATGTGCCTGTTCCTTTCTGACCAGACCACATGGCTGTGGACATTGTGCCTTCCTGTCCAGGACAGGGAATTTTTGCCCGCTTGCCATCTTGCCCATCATGGCTCTGGGAGACTGGCTCATGGGCTTTCTGCTCTGCCCAGTGCCACACTCACCTTCAGTTTGTGCTCATGCTCCTTGTTGACACGGGCCAGCAGCTGAGCCTTCCTTCTGTTGAGTGCGTCAATGAGGGCGTCACACTGGGCCACCAGACAGGCCTCAAACTCCACACTGTTTTCCTGTAGGAAAGAGCACATTTCTCAGACACAAGGTGCTGGGATCCCTGAGTGGCCAGAAAATCCAGAGCTCCCTGTTCTTCCTGCTGAAGATGATGGAAAGGAACTCTGTTCACAAAGCACATTTGGTATTTGAAAAATAGCTTGATAAGCTGCATTCTACAATGGTAGTGTTCTGCTGCAAATGCAGATGGAAAAGGATAAGCATTACCTAAGTTCGTTTTTATCAAAGGGAAACTGTCTCTATAGCTTGAGTTATGGTAAGTATACTAAAGCTTTAGCTAGCAGAGTGCACACGGGTTCCCTTAGGGGACCACATGGTGTCAGTTCTGTATGGCAGAAGGTAGCAACCAAGAGTAGTGGGTACAGTCATGGCAGGAGAGAAAGAATTATTAAATTCAATGGAAGAAGGAAGAAAGAGGATGACAGTGGCCTTTGATATCAAACAATAATCCTTAAGCAACAGAAGTTTATGAGCTATAAGAATAATGGGCAGACTTTCTTGTCCCCTTCAGGAAAGCAACAATATTTGTAACAGGCATTAGTTTACTGTAGACATCAGATATTAAGCAATAGCATGCAGGGGATGGGGGCTATGTGCTAATAAATGAACTAGAGTTCTCCATGATGTTTAAATTAAATGCTGAATACAAAATTTTTCCGTGATTTAAATACATACATGTCTTTCATTTAAGCAATTCTCTAAATTATAGGCATTTGTTAGATAAAATATTTTCAATAGTTATGAATACAATTTTGATTATTAAATCAAGACCTGAAAAAAAACAACTATAATTGATAGCAACTGAAAGCTAACTACTCACATTTACATTGCTGGCACTTAAAAAACAGTGCCCAATTGAGTAAACTCCAAATTTATGGGGGACTGTCAATGAAGGAACAACTTAACCTATCAAATTTTATTCCCAAAGGCATAAAGAACTGTGGCTCTTTATATACTAGTCCACAGATCTTTATTTGGCAACTTTTTCTCAAATACGAGGTCTTTGAATAAGGCATGCATTAGCAATTGGTTGAGCAATGACTCCTATGGATGCTAATTCTGGCTTTCATGGCAATGGCTTTCCAGTTCTCAGAGAAGGCCCTTGGGAAACATCATTCAAGAGCTCTTTGTGGCCCAGACTTTCCCCTTAAAGGCTCTGTTCCTTGTAGAAAGAACGCTTTGCTCTGATGGAGAGGCAAGGCTGAGGCAAGCCTTGGGCTGTACAGTTTATGCCAGCAAAAGCAAAGAAAAGACTGATTGATCAACTCCAGGGCTTTGAAAAACAGAAGGAAGTGTACAAAACTGTTAGGTTGTTAGGGAAGCCAAAGTTGTAATGGTCATGCATGCCAAAAAAAAAAGAAAAGAAAAAAGGCAAAGAAATCAGTGTGTAATGCTACGAGAGACTGGCTTCCCTTTAAAAATCCATGTCTTCTTTGACATGGGTTAAATATTAACTCAGAAAGCCAACTTACTAGAGGCCAAAGTTAAGGTTATTTCTTTGAGGCAAACTCCAAAACATAAGAATCATAAACGGTGCAGAGGGTCATTATTTTAGTGGCATGCATTTTATGGCTTCTCCCTTTCAGCTGCAGAGGAGAATTTATGAGTTCTCAAATGTTGGCTGTCCTGCTGGTCATTGTGTCCAGATAAAGCAATCTGAAATTATAGTCACCAGGGGATCTGGCTGTAAAACATCCAAGCACCTAAGTAGAGGAGAAGCATGAGTATGGTAAAGCAAGAAAGGAAAAGCAATAGGAAGAAAGGAAATAAGGAAAGAAAGGAAGAAAAGACAGAAAATGTGACTTGTTTATGTTAAATAAGTTAAAATTATTACAAGGTGTTTGGGGGAACTTACAGGTTTTAGAAACTCAGCAACAGCAACGTGAATTCACAAAGAAAATATGTTTCTTTCTAAATACACAGAGGTAGAGAATTAGGACTACAGTGTGGAAGACAGGAACCCCATGCAAAATTAAGTTTTGTTTCCAGTTTGTTGGCCAAAGTCAATCACCTCAAGAAGAAATATGTTTGAGTTAGTCTGTATGTGTGTTTACATGAATAGAAGTAAAAAATTAATAAGAATTTCCCCAGGACACACAAAAATAAAGAAGAAACAAGTGCCCCTCCTCCCACTACATAGCTATGCACCGCTGGTGGGGGTTTGCCCTTCCTCTATCTCAGGCGCTGCCCGTACCTGGATCTGTTGTACCATGTTGCGAAGCTGCACCAGAAACTCCTTGGCTTCTTTGGCCCTGTCTGACAATCCATTCAGCGCCTGGGAAAGCTGGCTCTGCAAAGAGACAGAGAAGGACACGTGGAGCTACCGGTACACAAGACCACATGGGGTTGTTCTCAGAGCAAAAGGCCCCCAGACCCGGAATGTCTGGCCTCCTCAGATGCCTCTTGTCTGAGGCTGGGCCATGGAGCTAACATCTGTGTTGTAATTCTGGTACTGATGGCATCCAGACTCTTTCCTTAGACTCCTGAGTAGTCAGTCCTCTGAAATAGTGAATGAAAACTTCTAGCCATGGTGGTCAAAGGCTCTCACAGCTGATACCTATATACACAGTTTCCTCATCTTATCAATTAAACTAAGCAGTCATTTATGTAATGCTTATAAGGGGGAGTGAGGAGAAGAAGGGTAGAGGGAGTGAAAATGACCAAAGTACATATGGAAGTGTCATGATAAAGCACCTTATGTGCAATTTAATACATACCAATAAAAATTTAAGAACTTTAATAAATAAATTCATTGTAGAAACACAAAACAAGTGAGGCATCAGTAACTCACATCTGTAATGCTAGCTACTTGGGAAGCTGAGATTGGGAGGATTGTGGTTTGAGGTAAGCCTGGGAAAATACTTCTGAAGACCCCATCTCAACCAAAAGCTGGGTATGGTGGTGTGTGCCTGTCATCCCAAGCTATGCAGGAAAGATTGAGAGCAGTGCAGTTCCATGGCAATCTGGGCAAAAAGATTTCGAGACCTCTCTCACGAGAAAAAAGCTGGGCATGGCAGAAAGTATAAACTATGAGGCTCGCGATCTAGGTTGGCTGGGGCCAAAGGACTGGAGGTCAGAAGCACAAAACCCTGAGTTCAAATCCTCCAAACCCCCAAACAAACAAAAATCCAGTGACTCAGAGGATCTGATTACTATTGACATTACTCACTCCAGAGGGACTATTGGTCTCGGGTTAGGGCAGAAAGAATCAAGAGTGCCAAGAACAGAACAAAGACGGAAGGGTTAGGTTCTCATGTGATGCTCTGGTCCACTTAACTGTAATGACAAGGATAGGGCAACACTGGATCTCTCGCCCCATAAATGTCCCCTTCTTTCTCCCAAGCACAGCCTTGTTGCACCACGTCCTCTCTGTGCCAGCCTCCTAACTGAGGCTCACTCTCTTTGGACTTCCCACACCACCCCATCACATGGGATGCAGTTGTGCTGGGGAGGCAATGTGTCCAGGTAAGCACTTGCTACCCCAGCCTTGCTGTCTGCTGGGGTGGCCGCTGCTGATCAATGGGACCTAAGTGGAAGTCTGCTGAGAAAGTCTTTGTCCTTCTGCCAGTGTGACTGGTGCAGCCCCTCTCTTTTGGTTCCTGCCTTTGAATTGTATTGTGGTGTCTTCTGACTTGAGTTAGGAGGAAGTCAACATGGTAAGGGTGGAGGGGTGAGAAGAGACAGAGCCTGCATTATGGCATCTTTGAGCATCTGAGCCAGCACCTGAAGTCTCCTACTCTTAGGCTTCTTATTATATGGGAAGAATGAAGTCTGTGTAAGTCCCTGTACTGGAGTTTTCTGTTGCTTGCAGCTGTTAGCATTGAACTTGATACAAAATTCCTTCTCCTAGCAGCCTGGGTATACCTTCTGTCCCTCACTTAGGGTCAGACTCCCTTTCCCATGACACCTTTTCTGAAAAGTAAACCCCATTTTCTTCCTTGCTGGCACAATGCTCCATCTACCCTCTCCTTTCAGTAAAAGGACACAGCATTAAAATGACATCTCTTAGCCCTGTTAGTTTTTTCTTTTCTTTTATTTTCCTTATTAAATATACTGACTCTCTTTAAAAATCTGCATTCCAAATGCTGTGTGGAAGCAACATGGGATGGCAGAAAGAACACAGATTCTGAAGGGGTTCAAATTCTGACACTGTCCTTTACTAAGCATGACCCTAAGAAAGTTGCTTCTGCCTGAATTACTCCAATGGGAATAGTAATGACACTTTGTCATTGGGTTCTTGTGAAGGTTGAATGCATTAATCTGTGTGAAAGCTTCTGCCAATAAAGGGTGGTGATTAAGGGAACTATTCTGAACTCAAACGCTGCCAGTTACTGGCTTCAACCTTTAGCCATAGTTTTACCTCCTCCACAAAATCTTAAGTGTTGAGAGCATTGCTTGGGATGCTATATGTAAAGCCCAGAGCACTGTGGGTGCACACTGCATGAGGCACAGTAAATGCTGCCTGGTATTAAAGTTTTCTTCCTTCATTCCTGCTCACACATACCTGCTGACTGGAGGACTTCGAAGGATGGATTCTTGGAACAGGATCTGTTGGAGAGTATTTTTGATCACCTGTACTTCGCCCTATATATTCAGACTTCAGAATGGAAGATCAATACAATCCAGTAAGAGAAAGCACGCAGTGAGCCCACAGTTGCAAAAGGACTATTCAGTTTGTTATTCTTGGGTGTTAGCTAGACCATGATTTGGGGTAAAATTTTCTCCTCAGGAACGATTTCTAAGACCGAGAAGACAAAGAAAGAAAAGAAGGTCTTATTTGGAAGGGCAGGAATAAAATGACACATTTTAAAGGAGAATGTGTTATGTCATGTCATGTCTTTTTTTTTTTTTTTTCTGAATAGATAAAAGTTGGCTAGGCCACCACTGTTTTCTTTCTGTTTTTATTATCAGTGCCTTTGTAACCACATTTGAAAGCTTGGATGCAGAAGCCAAATTAACTTGGCTACATAGAAGTGAAGTAACCTGATTTCTTACTTTTCAACCTTACAATTAATTGTGTCTGTATAATGCAAGGCAGACCCAACACTCATAAAGTATTTGTAGACCAGGTGATGCTTTATATTTAGAAAAATTATTTAGTGGTAGACAAAGAGTGATGGCTCCATCCAGTATTTTATGTGACAAAGCAATAGTGAACTGTGAAAATCAATTTCCTTCCACATTTCTTCTCTGTATGCATGTTCAGACCCAGGGTCTCCCACCTGGCTAATGATTGCTCTGGAATTTGATAAACAACTGTATTATAAGATAAAGACCTAGAGGTCTTTCTTCTGAGCTTTGTCCACTTGTAAAAACTGAGCAGGAGACAATGAAAAATCCTGGAAAGCTATTTATTACTAGAAAATGCCCTTGTTTGTAAGGATTTATATGTGCTTTGTTTTTGTAGAGTAGCCTTTGATCACATTTATAAACTACATCTGATGAGCAGGAACATTACTGTTGACTGAGCTGGTTTCCTAGAAGCGTTTACATCCCTGGCCTGTGCTAACAGAGATGTTTTATATTCAGGACAGCAGAGCAGCCTTGGAAAAACCATCAGAGCACTGGAGTTACAGATACGTGTTGTGCGTTTTCATTTCAGCATCTTGGCTGTACACATAGTCATGAGAGAGAGAAAGGTATAGTTCTCAAAGATGTTGATAATACCTAAGCAGCAGCATTCAGATTGCTTGGATATGTGTGTTCTAATTTGCTGCAAAGGTATTGAAAGTGAATGGGAGTGGGGAAATGATGCAGCCACAGAGGCCCTGACAGATTTCCAGTGAAGTTGTTCTCAGCTCAGAGCATGCTCAGAATAACCAAGTTCTCCCAGGGAGAGAGCAAGTTGTTGGAGCTTGAAGGAGAGAAACAAAGAACCATCCTCCTCCTTCCCTCCTTGCTTGCCTTTCCCTTCGACTTTCACCCTGAGCCTGGCTTCTCTTACCCCAAAAGGACTGATGCTATGGGTGAGATGAGTTTAACCTGTAAACTAGCATGGAGGTTTCAGAACCTACTTCTTAGGCTCAGCAAGGGGGAAAGGAATTGGATCCAGGCTGATTAACTCTGCCTGAATCCAGCCACGCTGCTGAGCATGCTCAGGCAGAAGGCAGTGGCTCCTTCCCTTTTTCCACTGTAAACATCCACTCAATTTATTACTAACATTGGATGAAGCTTCCTGGCTGTTTGGGAACTGAAGTTACAGGCATGGGACAGGACAAAAAGTATCAAACGGTAGGTACAAAACAGAAGAGACAGAAAACATACAACAACAGCTCAAGGGCCAGAAAATGGCCCTGCTTCCTCTTCAGGCACGGGACACCTTCTGGTTTTCCATCACAGTGCAAGCTATTTGGGTACTGTGGGCAACGCAGAAGCTAGAGCCCACCCCACCTCCTTCTCAGTACCAAGGTGAACACCAAACACAGGAAGAAGGTGGCAACTGATGCAATGGTCATTTGTTATGAGCCAAGAACTCTGGTGGTGCTCAAATATGTATCCTTGTTCATCGCAGTCACCACTCTGTGGAGGCTTGTAAAGGATACAGCTGAGTTGGGTGCTTCTGCTCACAGAGAAGAGCCACAACACAAACTCAGTGTGATGCCAAGTTCTGGAGTTCTTTGCTCTGAAATCTCAAAGAAAGGAACAAACACAACCCAAGAGGAAAGCTTGTGAAGCCAGAGAAGGTGAACTGATGAGGGCTCATGATTGATTATGAGGGGATCTGATCATACGGAATCATCACATGATATCTAAACCATTGCGTGACTAAGTACCTTATAAAATGTTCAATTTCTTTTTTCTTGAATAAATACTTTTTTTTTTGGAAAATTTAAAAAAGTCTCCTATCAAGAGAGACTTTCAAAAGAAAGAAGGTTTGATGGGGGTCCAATTGTGGGTTTATTTCCTACTGGCCTGAGACCTTAGGTAGAGACAACAGAGAGGGGAGTGAGTCGAATGAGGTTTGCAGAGTGACTAACACTTGGGAACCTTCAACCTGAGCTGCCAAGGGGCCTGATTCTTTTCCTAGCTAAAGTTTCTGTCCTTCATGCTTGCACATTTCCCGATCCGTGAAAGGCTCTTGCCGTGGGTTTCTCTGGTGATCGAAGACCTTGAGTCTACCCCGGCCCCAGCTCACTATAGTTGGGTGGGTAGGCAGGCATCCTCAGAGGCCAGCTGCCTGCTGATAGCAATCTGTCTCTCAGCCCAGCAGCAGGGCTGGGTCAGGGAATGGCTTGTGATCTACAAATGGAGCAGCTGGGCCTGAGAGCTGAAGCACACAGTCTAGAGATA